CACTCTGGTTATTCGTCCTTGTTGGGAAATTGTGTCATTTTCCTGTTAAATTAATTTAATTAGTTAATTTAATTTAAATTAATTTAAAAATACGTTGATTTATCCAAAAAAAATGGTAAAAATCATTAATATTAAAAAAAACTATTTTTCAATTAACCCCTTGCGCACCAACACATTGCATTTATATTTTACAATTTATCTTCACGGGCATCAATTTTTGTAACTTTTGTGTAATGTGGCAGAGGATCGGAACGAAATGGTTTAGTCTTAGATTTATGTGAAATTAATACAAAAGCCAGTAGAAAGACATCGACTTGTCCGAACTTCTAATACCCTACACCATTTGGTAAAGAAAACATTTTTATGCAAAAGTATCTGGTTTCAAACGTGTTCATTTTAAACTGAGATAAGTAAGATCGGTAGGAGAATGGTTGGAGCCGTTATATGGGGGCCATACTAAAATGGGAGCCTATATAGATAACTTCATACTACAATGATTGTAATCTATCGCCAGTCTTAAATACCAAATTTTACCTCATTTCGTGGGAAAATGTGACTAGGATGACTAGAACCAAGTGGCCAATGTTTTGACGCCGCTTGCAGAAACCATTATGAAGTACAAATACATAACTTCACAGAAGTCTATAAGTAAATTTGGCTTAGGTTAGGTTGAAAAAAGGGTGAAACAATTCGCCGCTTGCCCTGATGGGCATACACTTAAGCTAGTATAGGCCTCTTAAGCCAGTATAAGCTTATAGGAAAACGTGGACCTAGATATTAATGTTGTGCCACCGGAGCTTGAACCCATTACGAGCTACAAATACCAATTTTTAGACAAATCCGTAGAAAAATGTGGGTAAAACCATCAAAATACCGAATATCGAGAGGTACCGTTACGTGGACCTATATGTACAATGTTCCGCCACTAGAGCTAGAAACCATAACGAACCACAAATACCAATTTTTAGACAAATTGGTGGGAATATTTGGCTAAAACTATCAAAATACCGAACATCGGGAGGTACCGTTATATGGCGGCTATACCAAAACGGACCGATACATTTGATTTTCAATACCAACCATCTTAGACATAATACACAAATTCCAAGAACCAACGTGGATTTTTTTACAATAATTTTTTAAGAATCATCCCAAATAATGTTTAAGATAATTTTTAAAGGATCATCCCAACTAATTTTTAATACATTTTTCAAGGATCAATAGGCACTAAAGGAGATTTTTTAAAAAACAAAATTCAAGGATCATCCCAAATAATTTTTTAAATAATTTTTCATGGATCATCCAAAACCACAAATGTAGGCGTCTTCAAAATAATTTCTCGAGGATCATCCAAAGCCACATAATTGTTATGTTAAATTTTGAAACTCTAATGCGAGCTGTATCGTGATTTCAACAGACAGACGGGAATCATTAGATCGACTTAGAAGTTTATGCTGAGTATGAATATATAAATACTTTATGAGGTCTACGACGAATATTAATATATAGCGATTCGGTTCAAAACCTCTCCCCTTTTCTTTGAAAATCGCAATCCTAATTGTTTTGTGTTTCGAATAATATTTATATTTTATATTTAGTCCTTGCGTGCTTCATTTCGTATTTTTTCTCTTACGGCTGACAATTTATTTATTTATTTTATTTGAAAAAAACCCTTGAGTGTTTGCAAATTTTTGCAGAGAATTACGCTGAATTGCTCTGAATTACTTTTCACAGTTTTCTTGTAAAAAAATATAAAACTACTTTACTCTCCCAAAAAGATAATCTACTTAACAATTCCTGTACAAAAAGTAACCAGGCTGACCTGCTTTAAATTTTGAACTGAAACAAAGAAACATTCTTTGAAACAGGTAATTAAAAAAAAAAACAAATAGATTTTTATTTCGCCCAAAATGCCAATAAATAATTCATTTTTGTGACATCATGTGAAGCTTCCCTTGTGATTAAACAATAATTTGATAAAAATGTGGAAAAAAAACAACAAATATGATTGTTGATAATTATGAGTGATAAGAAAAACCGCACCGGCCAATATCGCCCCTACCTTATCGCGTGGAATTGTAAAATTATTAATTGAAACACCATAGGCAAATATTTGGACTCGATGACTTTAAGGTGTTACATTTTTTCTTTCCAAAGCGGCAATAAAAATTACATTTTATGGCATTACAAAAATAAAAGTAACAAATTCGAGCAATGGCCTTAACAATTGATGGGTTTTTGTGTCTGTTTAAAGCAACGGCCTACTAACGCCTGTGAAGGACGGCGGCCCTGTGAAGGTTTTTTGCGTTCAAATATTTGTCCCCGACTGGGTGGTAATGGACTGGGAGCGTGGTGTTTATAATTTCATTTCAATTATTTATTTACAAAAACGAAAAATAAATAACTTAAAAAAAACGCTTTGAATGTGGGGAAGGGATTGGATTGTTTACGCTACGACCCTGCACTTGTAATTTCAGAATTTGTGTAAATATTTGAGAATTTTTTGAAAATTTGTTATCTTCGGTCGAGTGTCGAGAGTGTGATAAAGGGAAATAAACGAAATCTTAAAACACATTGTTGCTGTCATTGTCGTAAATTCAGCGTCTACATCTACGTCCAGAGGATGATGGATGCATTGTTGTTGATGTTATTGTTGTTGTGGCCGTGGCATGTGTTATTTGTACATTAACGTTTCGTTTACTGTTTACATTTTGTGAAAAATTTATTACATTCTTCCAAAGAAAATCCCTCATTGTTGGCTTGTTCGAATCCACCACACAATTCATACAAAAAAAAAACAACAAAGAATGGTTCTTGGAGAGAGTGAAGTTTACCGATCTAATCTGTGAGCGGAATGTTAAGAAGGAATTGGAAAATGGGAGCTCTCATGTTTCCATTTGCCGGTTCATAAATTCGAATTGTGATATTTGAGTTGGGAGATTTTCCATTTGTGATAATTTTAACACCAAATTATAGAATTGTGTGTGCCCGTTTTGTTCTTTAATTTTCTTTTATGGGCCATACAAGACAAGACTTCTTTGTTTTCCCTAATCTTTTATTCAAGATTAATACTTTTAAGGTAGCCTCTTGTGTAGACATCCATCAATTTGGGAATGAAAATCTGATATGGCTGCGTTTATCAAAGTCATTATTGAATGAATTTTTCTAAAATTTTAAGATATGAAGACACAATAATAGACTGTACAAAAGGTTTTTGGGGCACATTCAAATAACTCTACATTACGGCAAGGGTTCCAATGAAAAACAAGAATGACCCTTCAAGTGGCCATTCGGTAGACAAATAATCTGGTAAAATCAATCAAATAACCTGATATTAAATATTTTTGAAGCGCTAATTAAGTAATTGCTTAAAGTAGTTATGATATTCATTTCGCATCTACATATTGATATGAATCCTTGAAATGCAGCCAAATTCCTCAGAGCTATTTCAAAACGTAGCCGACTCCATTGATGCAAAATGCATCTCAAATTAGTAGGAATTTTAGATGGATAGGTACCCCTCATTTTTAGTATTTTAAAACGCCCAGTCTCAAATTAGATGAATATGGAATATTTTCATTAGATTTGCAACCGACAAAAAAACATTCCATGTATTTCATGCCTATGCATGTTTCATGGTCCATTTAATTTTTGAAATTATGGCACATTTTCATGCAGAAGGGTTATCTACAGAATAAGCATCATCGTAAAAGTCATTCATTTGCTATTTTGCCGGGAAGCTACTTTCAGCGGTAGAAATGTTCGCGCTTGAATAGAAATGTATATATTTTTCACACAAAAGTTTCACTCGCTAAACATCATCCGATGATCACCCAAAAAGGTAGGCCTCTGTCCTTTCAAAAATCTAACCTCATTCATAGATTGGCTTATAGTTAGCAAATCATAAAGCGACTGCAAAATCAACAATATTGTGACCCAAACCTTAACTCCACCCAAAAATTCGTCTGGATCGGCCCATAACAAATGAACATGGACAGACGGGCAGGTGGACGGACACACATAGCTAGATCGACTCAGATCTCAAAAATAGGAAAATCGATATGTAACATCATGGGTCTGTGAACAATATTTCAAGGTGTTACAAGCTTTTTAGTTTTTAGGGTATAAAAATAAAATTTGTATTTTCTGTTAGTATAGGGTTCTGTTAGTATAGGGTTAGTATGTTCAATGGAATTGAATGCCACACAATGTAAACGTACCATGATGGGGCTAATTTTCTGATTTTAGGTGACTCCAATAGAATATGATTCTTTCCTAAAAAGTAGGATTGGGAAGATATCACATCAAATTTGAAGAATAGTTCATGAGTATCAAAAAAGTCCACATTGATTACTTTTTATTCAAAAACAAGAAGAAAAAGCGCCAATCTCAATCAATTGATTTAATTACGCTTTGATTTTTGCAAATTGGCAACATTGGCTCCCACAAATGCCTGCCACAAAGAGAAATGCAACCACTACCACCGCGCACAACAACACAAATCAAACACACGACACAAAACGAGCAAATACGAATGGACAGGAAAAAAAGAAATCAAGTTGCCACAATTGGCGAAAGAGAAAATGAAAACAAAACAACGAACGCACCTAACTTCTTCGCTGCGTTTCGTGTGCTATGCGAATGACAAGCCCAAAAAGGATGGCAGGAAAAAAGGAGCGCCCTTATTCACAAACATACACACAAACATGCCACACCAAAAGCAAATACAAAAAGAGGAAAAGGGCGCAAAAATAAACTGGGAAAAAGGAAGAGCGCAAATCACGACGTCGACGGCGGTGGCGTTGAATGATGATGACAAGAACGGAGAGCAGCAAAACGACCGACAAAAATTTGCAACAAAGAAAACAAAGGTCAATTTTCCATTTTTTCCGATAATCAAGGCGTTGCTGCACGCTCTCAAAACGGGCCAGAGGAAATATTCCCAGCGAAGAAGAAGTGGAAGAAGAAGAATCACAAAAAGCCCACACTCACTCACTCACCTTTTTTATTCAAATTTGCGTGGGAATTCCTTATCCTTTTTGGCACATAGAAACGATGTTGAGATTTGATAATTTTTACAGCAATTGGTATTTTCCAATAAAATTTGACGAAAAATATTTATATTTTTATGGGCGACGAAACTTTCACTTGCTTTGTTTTTATTTTTGTTTTGTAGTATTATTTGTTTTATTTATTTTCTCCTCTATCGCTCTCTCACTCGGCTTTTCCGTAAATGTGTGGGGGTTTTCGTTGTTTGCCTGGTTATTAAACACTTTTTATTATTGTTGTAATTTTTAGTTGGTATTATTATTTATTTTCACGCAGTTACACAAATTGTTGTTGTTGTTTCTTTTTCCTATTCCATTGACGAGATAGCGGGGCAAGGAGAAGCTGGCGTAAGTAAGGCTGTTTAGCTTTTCTCCTCTATTGCGGCTGATTATTTGTTTTTTTATTGTTATTGTGGCATTTGTGAATTTTGTATGGTTTCCTCACTAACTAACACACATTGCCCACCACAAACATCATCGACGTTATTATTATCTTCATCATCGTCAGAGAAAAAAAACAAGAATTCACATTCAAACACTCGCACTCGCTCACAACAGTACAGTGATTTATTTTGTCGTTATGATTTTCTTGTTGTTGTTGTTTGTCGACACAGTAGTATTTTTGTTGTTGCTGTTGTTGTTGGGGTACTGCTGCTTTTATTATTCTATTATGTAGTAGTTACACATGCACAAGTCACATACACCGACTAACGACGAACACATTAACACAACTCGCTTGCTTTTCTGCTTTGCTCTGCTTTTATTTTGGAAGAAAAGTATAAAATTCCATCTTTAAATCGATTTTGCCAACACGAAATCAGAATTCAAAAACGAGAAACGACAACAAACACTTTACTTGATTAAACAGGATGTGTTGTGAGACAATATAAAATTTACTTGTTTGCTCGCTGGCGATGGTCTGGTAAAGTTTAGAGTTGTTGTTATTGCTTTTTCTTAACTTGGCAAATTCTTGAGCTCAGTCAACGACAAAGACTGGCTGACTGACTGCGCCTTTTTTCTTCTTCTTCTTCTATCAATTTTTGGCTGCTACATAGGACACTTTTCACTTCACACAGTAGACATACGCACACACAAAAACTGAACTGAAATTATTCGGCCACTTCACAACTTGTTTCCAAGATATTCCTTTTCATAACGAAAAGTAGCAAAACGTTCGTTGCTTCACAAGTTGATTTGCACTTATTATTATTTTTTTCTTTACTTTGCTTGATTATATTTAATTGAAATTATGGACTCTTTATTTGCATTGTGTTTCTCTGTTGTACGTTCGTTCGTTCTCCGTCAATAGCAAACGTCACCGTCCGCGTTCGAATACAAATTGAAATGATAATGATGATGTGTGTGTAGGCAAGCAAACTGCAGATGGCAACGCCGAAGTTGGCAACGATGCAGAGGGGGCATTGTTTTCTCAGTGGGCAGAATTTCATGTTTTTTGTTTCTCTCTCATTCGTGTGAGAGAGAATGGCATGCTAGGGTTGCCGTCGTTTCTGCTATAGAATGGAACGAAGGTGTGTTCAGAGAAGAAATGAAATTAGTGTTGGTTAACGGAAAATAAAACCAAATGAGTGGAAAAGGGATTTTGGCAGTTTGACCATCCGTTATAGAGGAGCTGTTCTGCATCAAAAGCTATAAAATTTATTTGTAAAAAACATAGTGAAATATTTTTTTATGATCTTTTTTTATTAAATTTTAAATAATAAACACAAATCAGTTAAATGTGACAAGGTAAGTGAGAGAAAAATGCCGAGATGGATATTCTTGGAATAAGAATATCTTGCAATTATTGTACCATGGGAGAAGGTATAAAGCCATGTGAAGTGTTTCCGCACTGAAATCATTATGAGTAAATTGTGGGCAACGGCTTAATAGCTCCAAAACCCAAAAAATATATAAAAGAATTTGTGTCACGTTTAGCAACAAAACGTTGAGTGGTCCTAAGAGGAATTCTGGTTATTGTTATTGTCAGTTCGTTTAGCATTCCAAGAGTAAGAGGGCAAAGTAGAGAGCACTGCGTCACAATATTGTCAATAGCGACTATAGATGGATGCGTGTCAAAACATGACACCCGCCCACCTCTTTTAGCGACCCCGAATCCTTAGAAACGAGAAATGTGGAGCCTGGCAAATATGTTCCCAAAGGTTAATCATACAGACCGATATCACTATGATTGTCTAAAACCCATGAGGCATTCCTCCCATCTTGAGTGCTAGCTTTTCAGATACCGATCATCAGCATGGGTTCCGTTAGCAACATAGTTCAACAGCAGGACTGACAGGATAGCCACAGCCATTGGCTGGAACAAAAATTACTTTCGATCGAAATTTTTTAAATATAAAATGAGAGACATTCTCCAACGGCGTGTCATAGAATTGTGCAAAAGCGTTTTGACACTGTCAAGCAAGTCACACATTCCGAAGCCGTCTACAAAATTACCCCTGTGTGAAATTTTAATTATATGTGTGAACGCCAGTCGTACATGGAATACCGAAAGAAAATCTCCGTGGCATGTAAAGTAGAACAAGGAGTTACCCAAAGTTATGGAATCTCACGACCTCCGGACAGCTCAAAGTTGACAACAATGTGATGACAATGTGCAACACATGAAGATCCCATTGTGAATTGTAATCAATCGTTGATCTATCGTTGAACTCTCAACGACACCCAAGACACCATTTGAAATAAGGAAACAATTTGTTACAAAAATAAACAAAACAACAATGCCCGCACTGAACACTCTAACGGAAATCCTCAATAAAGAACAAAGAATTCAATTCAATTTGCATGACTCCCATAATTTGGTGTCTATCGTTTCGGGATATGTGTGAATTAGACGAAGATCATCCAAAGAAAAATGGTTTACAACAGTCTATGCGGGAAACTAACAATTAACAGTCATCCTGTCAAGCGCTCCTCATCTCATTCGTCTCTGGTTCGCCGACATACAAATCAAAATCACTCTCATGAATATTGTGGAGCAATTTAAATTCCAAAGATTGTTGCTTTGTTTTTCTGGTGAATTTTGACGCATGCCGGAGCTTGATGGGTATGGAAGGCATGGATGATCCATTTCTTGGGTTTCTTTTATGAATTCTTTTGTCGGTCACTTACTTAATTTATAAGCCAAATAAATGTCTTCTGTTAAAACGCATAATCATTGTGGCATGTCGAAGATTCAGAGGGGAAAAGGGAATCAAAGCGGTGAAGTAATGGAAATCTATTTCATTTTGTTTTCTTTTTTTAATACTTTAATCAAATTCATGACATATAGAGATTATAAGCCTTCGTGTGAGCATTTGGGGGCAGATGATAATCAATTTGGAATTTGAAAAACTTGGAGTAGGGAAATCAGATCATTACGAAGGTTAAAGTAGATTTGGCTTTTTATAATAAAATGTTTATAACAAAACCATAACTAGTGTTTTGCAGTTAAGTAGGCGATCGTTGGCAGTATATTGTCCTGAGGGAGTCAAATTGCATTATTGCTTACAACATTCTGTAACTTTCCATGTAATCGTCAAATGGATACATAAGATTCGTTGATATTTGTACATTCCTCCTCTCCTCCCCTCACCCTCGCCCCCTACACTCATATTATTTTTATTGACCACTTCTTTAATTAAATATGTCAGAAACCACTTATGGTCGGTCGGTCTGTCACCAAGCCTATCCAAAGAAGCTAAAAGCCCGACCATTCAAATGCACTCAATAATGGGCTTTCGTTCCTAAGAGCTGGATGCGTGCGAAGTGTAAATTGCTGTTGAGTTCAAGCTTTAAAAGCGAACATAAAAAGCTGACAAGAGGAACATTATGCTGTAGATGGATGGATGTACATTGTTTTTGTTGGTGTTGTTGTTGCTGTTATAAATCTTAAATTGTAATTTGTGTGGGCAGCTGCTGTAAGTGAAACTATGTGTGTACGCATGTATGTTTGTATGTTTGAATGTATGTAGCACATCCAATCATCCACATCTAGCCATTCAACCAATTTTTTTAACAATTGAATGAATTGCTGAACATCAGAGGGAAAGAGTCAATGAACTTCTCTCCCCAAGTGAGATCTGTTGACGGTCCAATGTATTAAGCAAAGTCCAACAAGGCACTGAGAGAATATTAGTTGCTTAGGGAAATTGAATGCAGTTGAACATTAAAAATGGTAACGAACCCAGGGACCCATTCAAATTGCAACGATTGGAGGACAATTGGTAGTAAAAACATTTCGTAAAATTTCGTCGCAGATTTCCTGGCCGTCCAACGCCTACTGGTGAAACACTGCGAAGTTTAGCCGCTCGCCTCGAAGAGACTGGCACAACAAAAGATGGCAGACCCTGGAGTCTAACATACGCTCAAGGCCTATTTCCATCATAGAGGGTACGTAAATAAGAAAAAATTACGAATCTGGGGCACTGAAAATCCGCGTGTAACCTGCGAAGAGCCATTACACACGCTTAAAGTGTGTGCTGCTTTCGCTGGAGGAGTTGTCGGACCTTTTTTCTACAAAGACGTCGTGAGCAAACGACTTCTTTTTTCCGCAACTTGATGAGTTGGGATCATTGGAATAATCTAAATAGCTGTCGGACGAGTGGCTTAGAAATGACAGCAGTCTGAAGTTGGTTGCAGTTTTTTCATCTCACCCTGTATAGCATAGGAAGTTGTCGATATAGTCCAAATCTGGCACGTTGTAATATTTATGTCAGTCCCACACAAAAAAGAGCGAAGAGTAAACCCATATAAACTCTCTTTTCGAGCAATCCCGCTCGCGAACCACTCTCTATTGAAAGCTAGCAGATCTATGATCTGATATTAAGATAGGTGAGATTTAAGAAGAAAGGAGAGATTAAGGAGATTTTAAATTATATTTTAAATTTTTAAATTATCATTCGAGTGTAATATGGATTTTATTTTTCATATTGTTCCGAATTCCACTTCAACACATTCCAATTTTTTTCATGAGTGGACTTTTTTTAAATCTTTTGCTGTTGCTCCCCACCATTAAAACTAGATGTGCAGCAGTTTTTTCTTGACAGTGTATCTCAAGATGATCGAGCTGCATTTTTTACATTCTAAAGTAATTGTGTTACTTTATTTATATTTATAGTCGCATTATTCGTTGTCTTCAACGGATGCGTGTAAACGGCGAATATTCAGAATTATTAATCTCTATTTAGAGATCTTTGTATTCGAGCTGGGTTTCGTATGCTGGACAATGGGACTAGAGAATGTGAAAAACAGCATCAACGTCGTCAGACGCAGATAGCATAGCTGAGGCCGTGCCTATAACAAACAATTCAATTTAGTTTGCTGGATAACACAATGGAATAAAATTATTACATTGTAATCTTTGCTGAGACTTTCTTCGAGAAGACATCGACACGGTGCATAATATTTATGAAAGACTTAAATTTAAAATTATATATAATAAAATAAATAAAAAATAAATATATATATATATATAAAATGTAGATTTCAAAAACAAGGACCTCAATTTCAATAACAGTTCAAATTTTAACCCCCAAAAAAGTTCCACCTCAGCTCGTTCGGCTCGAATTGGATTCAGAGAAAATACAATGTCCCTTCTAATGATCACATCCAGATAGCCCGCAACAGAAAAGCAAAAGTTATCAAGTTACTATTTTCATTAGCTCAATTACGGCTGATGCAGCCGTTGGCTGGCTGGCTGACATTCGAACAATTGCTTGGAATTGCTAAAAAGAATGCGTCCGAGTAGCTACTGTCCTCCATTCTTTGCTGCGACCCAAACAATCACTTAAGAAAACGCTTTTGTTGATGTTCGTTAGAATGGGTAGCTTAATATGCCGCAGCATAGGCGTGGGACTGGCATGCATGAACGTATGTTTGTATGTGCGTGAATGAATCAAAAAGTGCGGCATCCAGACAACCATTAAATCTCCATTCAAATGTAAATTGCAATTGTCTTTTTGTGCAAATTATGTTATTAAAGCCTTTTTATTTTCATCACGACATCCATTTGGAAAATTCCTCTTTTTTTCAGATAAAATCAATCAGTTTGTTGTGACCTAATTCCTTTTACCCCAATTTCATTTACCCCAACCCCATCCAAAGTGGGAGCAATTATAAATTTCCACCCTTTTGATATGACTTTACATTGTTCTGGAGCGTGTGCCAAAACAACAAAGCTCCACTTGGAAGCCCATTAATCAAATCTGTGAAATGTACTGCAAACACCCACACACACACACACACACCCGAACGCTTGTTCTCACATACCAGATACAACAATAATCAAAGTAATTGCCAGTAATTTGGACAAGACTGCAAAAGGATATCAGCTTCCACCATCACCACCACCACCCTAACGGACTCGCACAGCAAGAACATCATCATCGTCATCGCTTGCCAACAAAAACAATGAAAATCAAATAAAAATTTCGAAAGGCCATAAAAATTCGCAACAGTTGCTGAAAATGCAACCACCATGCAGGACTCTTCCTTCGTTTTCTCTCCCACTCTCTGTAGCAGGAAGTCTATACAGATATTAATTTGATAACGGGATAAAACAGCCACAACAAAGGCCATTTAATTGGTTATACCCCACCACCCTCAACCATAAGCATGAGCATGACGGACGAACGCCAAGAGATGGAGGGAGAAGGTCTTGTGGGCACACCCTGTGTTTGCACAGCTCACACGTGGTACATTTATTTGCTTATGAAGCATGTTATGAACATGGTTGTCATTGTAATCAT